CCCCAAGACTACAGCTGAGAATTCAGCGTTACAGCTTTCCTCGGTTAGGTCCTAGGGTGGGATGATCCAGAATTCTATTGCTTTATATTATTAATTTTTATAATTATATGATTTTAGGATTAATGGTTTTTTGAGACAGTGACCAATTTGATGCCCAGTCTAACAAAATCAAGAAGGAAACATTCTACTTCTAACAACTTATTCCTTACATTTTTTTGTATGAGTTAATTATTGAAGGGTAAAATAAGAATGAGCATCCGACTTTTCGATGATAACAAAATTAGCTGAAAAACCGAATTGAACTGATTTTAAATATTGAATTGAAACCAATTAATCACATTAACCAAAATCGAATTAACTAAGATACTTCAATTCCATTAATAACCAAAAGGTAATTTTAAATAAGAAAAACATAATAAATTACAATTAGAACCACTAATTAATTATTCAATATGATTTATTATAATTAAATATAAATATATTTTAACCCATCGTTTAAGCTCACAGACACTCATATACACATTTATTATAATAAAAACATATTATATATGTATTTCGGTTTTTATTATATCCGAAATTTTTTTCGGCAATCAAAATACTATAATTGGGTTAAAAATCAAAATACAGTACTATAGTTAATAATTTACTTTTGCAGTAATCAAGAACAAATAACAAATTAACTCTTTGAAAGGAGAAAATTGTTAGATATCAACTTATTATTTAAATACTTGTATCAACCTACAAATAATTTTTATGGGAACAACAATATTTTGTTATACTATTAAAATTTTAGTCAATATGGGCAATGGGTGAGAGTACGAAATGATACAACAATTTCTAAAAATAGTGTTTCTATCTAAATATAGGTAATCTTGTAATTTTACCTATTTTTGAAGAGAAAATTGGAAATAAATTCATCATTAAAAAGAGAAACTCAAATCAGTAACCATTCGGGCATCCACTAAACGCTAACGCACAAATTTTGACTAGTTATCTTGGAGGAAAGAAGCTAAAGAAAGTGATGATAAATAAATATGAATAGTGGAAAATGAAGAACATTTGAAAATTTTTATGACAAACGACAATACTGATTACAATTTAACATGTGCCTAAAGAATCAGAACCACAATACAACCAACCACCTCTACCATATCTTTATCACCACACCCTTTAACCATTTATTAACAAGATCTATAATAAACAACAGATATTCTGTATCATGTTACATATACTCATGCATGTCTTGATGGGTCCTCATGCAATTGTGTCGGTCTTACATTTGGATCATCCTGCCACAAGGAGCGAGCCATCATGATAGTGTTAGTCTGGAAGTGAATACTATCTAGGAAGTAACTTAATTTACCAAACTCACCCGAATGCCATAAGTGAAATTTGTCGATGCCCGGAAAAAATCAAGCCATGCTTTGATGAGCACCATAGTACCTTACCAGACCAGGCATGCTTTGATGAGCACCATAGTAACCATCGTGGCTTGTTGGTATGGAACTTAACTGTCCCTGTATTCAAACAACAGAGTTTCTAAAATTTTGCACTTGCGCTAAATACTTTCCATAATTAATCACAATTTCAAAGACGCACCAGCCCCTGAATTGTCTGTTGATTCCCATAATAACTATCACGTGTTGGTCCCATCAAGTTCAACTGAATAATCAAACAAACAAATACATTAGTCCAGGTACTAATGTGAAACCACCAAAGGTAAACTGAAGAGTATCATACGCTTACCATTCCCTGAACGCTCTGTTGAGAGCCATAGTAACCATCAAGGGTTACTGCCCTTGCGTTGAATTTGTCCTACAAAACAAATTTCCAATTAACTGAAGACACTTCAAACTAAGCAGACAAATACATCCTTTTAACTAAGATAGAGCTTCTATTTTAAACTTCAATATTTCTATTTTTGTTCGCCTTAAATAAATATTCCCCCGCGTAGCCTGACTTTCTTCTACACACACCCCACCTTAAAATATAAAATTGAACAATTTTAGAGATTAACAACCATAGGAGGACTAACCATTTGCTGCATGTTATCTTGTCCACCCACTGTCATGACTTCAGAATCCGAGTTCAGCTGCAATTCAAAGAGGTCATGATATAAACTCAATACAACAGAGATATGTATATGTGATCTGAAGCAAACAAAAGACCCAAAAAAAAAAAAAAAGAACCTTTTTTTTTAGTTGGATTCTTCTCTTTGTCTTGCGATATTTCTACTCTGGGTATCTTCTTCAGCAGAGAGCTGACTGTGACTAGCTGACATGACAACTTCGGCAGGACTCTTGCTAGAATTGTTCACAGTCACACAACTTTTGTATGCTTCACGTAATGCATGGAATGCAATACTGTAACTGCCTTGAGATAGAGATCCCTCTTCACCCAACTTCATTGCTTGCTGACATAGATCATTGTATCGTTGTACCCTAGCTAGTACATGTTCAGATTCTTCTCCAATTTCTCCATCTTTAGCATCTCTTGTCCACCGTTTCAAGATATATCGGGATGGGATTACCGAAAGGCCAGAATATTGAAGAACAATCAATGCATGCCGACAAAGAAAACCTCTATATTCAAATAACCGACATATGCATGACACTTCAGATTTAATTTCATTCCACACAACAATGAAGTCTTGATTCTTTCCATATCATGAACCTTGTAAGTAATGCCTGCATCATCCTGTCTTTCAGCTTTAGGATGACAAGCAACTGCACCAATAACCTCGACTTGAATCTTCTTGAACACTATAAAATACTATGTTTGGGGCACAACCTCTATCATGCATCTCATAAATAATATCTTGCACATTAGAGATTCTACCTGACTTGAACAAACCATTGACAAGGGAGTTGTAAGCGACAATGTCGGGAATAAAGTATTTGCAGCGCATTTCTTTAAAGAGATTAATGGCCTCATCAACCATCTTCATTTTACAAAATGCTTGTCAACTTTTTCCATCATGAATACAAGTAACACGATCTTGGAGTAGAGTGACTAACCTTCCTTTATCATTTCAAGAGACCTTGATGAACAATTCGTCAATCAGATTCTTTGCCTCATCATTCTCACCTTTTTCCAAAAGAGGTATAATAATTGTTTCAAAAGTTACAAAATCGGGCGAGCACCCATTCTCTTGCATTTTATAAAGCAAAGCCTTCGCTTCATCATACAAATGCTCTTTACAAAGTCCTTTGATCATAGCATTATATGCTGGCACATTCAAAGGATGACCACTAACCAAAAGATGTTGGAAAATCTGCCGTGCATCATTTAATCTGTTACCCTCGCACAAACCATCAATAAGTATGGTATATGTGTAAGTATTAGGCCGAATTCCTTGTTTAACAATTTGCCTGAATAATGAAATTGCCTGGTCAAGATGGTGACTTTTGCACAATCCATCTAACAAGGTACTATAAAATACTATATTTGGGGCACAACCTCCTATCATGCATCTCATAAATAATATCTTGCACATCAGAGATTCTACCTGACTTGAACAAACCGTCAACAAGGGAGCTGTAAGTGACAATGTTGGGAATAAAGCTTTTACGACGCATTTCTTTAAAAAGATTCATGGCCTCATCAACCATCTTCATTTTACAGAGTCCATTAATTAAAATGGTATAGCTAATAACACAAGGAGCCAAACCACTTTTGACCATCTTGTTGAATAGTCTTTTTGACTCAAAAACATTATTAATCAAACAGTACCCATCCATTAAACTGCTATAAGTAACATCATTAGGTTTTTCACCGCACTTCATCATCGGCAACCATAGCCTCAGCTTTAGTCATACTTCCTTTCTTACAAAATGCATCGACCAATATACTAAAAGTACACACATCAGGGTTAATGTCTTTAAGTCTCATTTCATTAACAATTTTGCTGCTTCTGACCATTTATCCAGGACACAAAAACCGCTTATGAGAGAGTTGTAGGTCACAACATTAGGAGATATTCCATGATCAATCATTTCATGAAATAAATCATAGGCTTCAGCTATGAGCCTTTCTCTGCAAAAGCCATCAATAATTGTATTATAAGAAACTAAATCAGGCTTAACGGGCCCTCTCCCCATGTTTTGGAGTAATTTAACAGCAGCCCTTGTTTTTCCAATCTTGCATAGTCCATTCATCAGTGTGTTGTAGCTAACAACATTTAACTGGAAACCTTTTGCTGTCAGATCATCATGAAAATCTAATGCCCTCCCAACGTCATCATTGATGCAAAGGCCCTTCATTAGTGTGGTCAAAGAAATCGTATCTGGCTGACAGCCCATCTTAAGAATCTTGCCTAAGGCAGAGAAACCAAAAGTCATTTGACCCAAATGGCAGTAACAATTAATCAAGATGTTCAGCGTAACCAGAGATGGCTTGAATCCCTTAGATTCCGCTTGGGCAAAAAGGGAGATAGCTGTAGCATATTGTTTCAACCTCGCAACATATCCTAAGATCTTAGTGATTTGGAATATAGAGGGTGGGGGGCGCACATGAAGCAGGCGATTAAAAGAAGAGACAGCCTCTTCAATATTCTGAGGATTTGTGGAATTGGAATGTAAACAGAGGCAGGCAGTTAGGGCATGTGAAGGAGAAATAAGGAAGGGAGACGTAGACGCGGAAGAAAACGAAGGAAATCGGCAGAAGACATACCGTGACGGAGCTCTGCAACATGACATCTTCAGTTGCATTCAGAAATTTAGATCCTCCAACAAAGAATTCAACGCAGAATTGGACGAGGAAGACGAAGGCTTTCTTGCCACCAGAGACGCACCGAAATTTTCTTCGGATAGGTTTAGTTTTAGCTTTTCGAGACACTAATAATGCCAAATAAAAAAGAATCAGTAAGGAAATTATTTTAATTCTAAGTAATTTTTCGCTTGCCTAAGTTTTACAGTTTTTTTTTTTGCCATCTAAATTTTATAAGTTAATTTTTTACCTCAATTTATTATAGGTTAATTTTAAGAATTTTCCAATTTGGTTTCAATTTTAATCATATTTATATATGAGAATTATTATTTTTAATTTATTTATCACTTTTAAAAGAAGCAAGGAAAGCAAGGCATTTTCATTATTTATATCGTTGTAAAAAAAACAAGTATTATTTGTATCATTTTGACTTCATTCAAAAAGAAAAAGGGGGTGGGGGTCTATTGACCCATCTATTTTGTTTTTTTAATTTTTGGCCACCAGATATATGTGTCCATACTAACATTAAAATGTCAATCAAAAGTGACATTGAATAAGTTAAATAAATTATAATTAAATAACTTATATTATATCATCATATGAAATATTTGAGTGTATCATTAAATTATATATTTACAATCACATATTATATACTACTTTCAATTCTTAATATAAGAGCTAATTTACTAAAAAAATTAGTTAGGTTAGTTATTTGTAATAAATAGATGTTATCTTTTTTAAACTTGCTAATAAAGTATATTAGTTAAAGCTACCAATTGGTGAAATTTTTAACATGTGCAACTACTATAACAATTATATTGAAAATAATAAATAAATATGATAGATAAAATAGATTGGAGTTTTATATTAACAATCAGATGTAGTACTTGTTTATAATTTAAGAAAATTAGTTTGGAGAAAATAATAAATATAAATTTTTAAAATAATTTATTTAATTTTTTAATCTTTCTAAATAAGTTAACTCGAATATTATATTAAAGATCCAAGTTATTATGAATAACAATAGAGTCAACTACAAATAACAAAATAACTCTTTAGAAGGAGAAAATTATTAGATATCAGTAGCTTATTTAAATGCTTGTATCAGCCTCATATATTTTTTTTTTTTTATCAACACAACACTATGGAACCAGAAAAATACAAAAGTGACACTTTATTCTGTTTTGCTATTAAAATTTAAATCAATATGGGCAATTAGGTGAGTGAGTACAAAGGGATACAAATGCCCTCTAACCGTAGATGTAAGACAGTTTCACAGTCCAAATACACACACACACATATAAGATAGTTTCTGAAAACAGTGTTTCTATCAAAATAGCCAATCTCGTAAGGTTAACTTTTTTTTCTTCTAAATTTATCCTTTTTTTTATAACGTAAGCTACAGAATAGTTTTGAAAACTCTATCATTATATAGTTAATAATGATAAAATTGGAAAGAAGTAGCATTTTCAGAGAAAATAACAAAAATAATTTTCAAAAAATTTAAGATGAATCACACAAAATTCTGTTAAACTTTAAATAACATACAAATAAAATTCTCAGCCTTTAAAACTAATTAAAAAAACCCTCCTAATCATTAATTATATGCTCTCTTAAATTTTATTTTCGTACGTATACACCATCAAATTCTGAGTCATGTGCAAATAATTTTCTAAAATTTTAAGTTCACTGCAGACAAGTTGCAAACAAAACTAATAGCAGGAAGATCATATGCATCCACATAATATATTAGTGGGTTTATTGTAAGCTTCATTGACTAGAAAATTTATCTGTAGACAATATAAATTTAGAGTTATTAATAATTGAACATAAAATGCTTGAATTAGTTTAAACTGCCTTTTTCACATACATACACAAGTGAATGATGATTAGAAAAACGCCTACTATATATAACATGGTTAAGGTATAAACTTGTTAACTAAGTTTTTATTTAGGAGTACGAGACATCTAAAATTTTTTTTGAGTTCAATGTTATCCCAGAAGAGGTTAAATATTTTAATAATTTTTTTCATGCCGTTAAAAATATTAACAGTCTATGTTATTATTTTAACATCAACGGTAGTTTTTTTAACAGCACAACTCAAAATTGTTATGATTTCAAACTTTTGGAGTAATATTGAACTAGAAAAAAAAATCTTTCAAATGCCTAATGCTTAGTGAAAACTCTCAAAATAAATTTGCACCTTAACTCTATATAATTTAGGCAAGATCTTTTTGAAGTATTAATCCACCAAGAGACTACAGATTTTTGGAACTCTAATGTGACCTGATTTATTGTGCCTTGCAAAACCTATCCATGACTACTAATAACTTTATGGCTCAATAGCACATGTATCTTCTTTTATAAAGAAGGTTATGAATTTTATTTGCTCGAGTGGCAAAAATGAGAGGTGTGCGCAAAGCATATGATCTTCAATCCTATAAAAATTAGTAAAGCTCATAAAGATACTCAAGGAAGCTATTGAACTGAATCTCTTAATAAATATCTCTTAAGAGACGTAATTCACAAAGCATAAATAGCATCATGTAGTTTATATAACTGAATCAAAGCCATTACATTTATATCATGCCTTGATTTTTGTCCTTCATTCATTCCTTCCCTGTAAATGAGCAAGGAACTAAAGGAAACTCAAATCAGAAAGTATCATGGCGTCTGCTAATGCACAAATTTTGACTACTTATCTTAATTGCAGGGAGTATATGTACGAATTCCTCCTTTTAACTGGCAGGAAAGAAGCTAAAGAAAGTGACGATAAAGGAAATATGAACTAATGGAAAATGAAGAACATTTGAAAATTTTCATGACAAACTACAATACTCTCATTACAACTTACCATGTAGCCTAAAGAATCAGAACTACAATACAACCAACCACCTCTACAAGATCTTTTAACACCAAACCCTTCTACCATTTCTTAACATGATCCGTAGTAAACAACAGATATTCTGGATCAAGTTACAACTTTCATCTGATATTAAGGCACGCCCAAGCAGTAAAAATTGATATTGCAGATTTACTCCAACAAAAGCGCAAGAGAGGCAACTTATATTTGTTCGTAACATAGATTATATCAGAAGAAACCACATCACAAAAGTTCATATAGTCATGCCTAGTTTTAGCTTGAGCTGGTAAAAGCTCATGATTATGCCCCTTCACAAAACTGTGAACTACCCATTTTCCATCAGGCCTTCTTTTTACATGCATGCTTGCCTTGCAATCAGTCTTTGAACGAGATCTTCGACCAGTTGAACTTTCAGCATCTTGCTTGTTCTGTCAGCCATGCGGTCGATTGAATGATTTGTCATGCTCTCTTTCTGTTCCATACCTGAAACCAAGCAACTAAAGGCAAGAGAGGAGAGGAATTACTAGAGTGATGTACGTTTGGTGCTCTATCTGACGGATATATACTATAGAGAGGAGAGGAATTCAAGGCATCATTTCGGTGATACAGGCTAGCGTGTGTGAGCATGTTGCATCAAACACAAGTCAAGCTAAAAAAACAAAACAAACGCCCAGTTACAACAAAAGTTAAAACTAAATACATATGAACATATGACTGAAAAAAATATGCAATTGACATCAGTAAGAACAGTGCAAATTTTTTTTCTACGAAAATGCGTGTCAACTTTTTCCATCATGAACACAAGCAACGCAATCTTGGAGTAGAGTCACTAACCTTCTTTTATCATTTCAAGAGACCTTGATGAACAATTCATCAATCAGATTCTTTGCCTCATCATTCTCACCTTTTTCCAAAAGAGGTATAATAATTGTTTCAAAAGTTACAAGATCAGGCGAGCACCCATTCTCTTGCATTTTATAAAGCAAAGCCTTTGCCTCATCATACAAATGCTCTTTACAAAGTCCTTTGATCATAGCATTATATGCTGGCACATCCAAAGGATGACCATTAACCAAAAGATGTTGGAAAATCTGCCATGCATCGTTTAATCTGTTACCCTCACACAAACCATCAATAAGTATGGTATATGTGTAAGTATTAGGTCGAATTCCTTGGTTAACAATTTGCCGAATAATGAAATTGCCTGGTCAAGCTGGTGACTTTTGCACAATCCGTCCAACAAGGTACTATAAAATACTATATTTGGGGCACAACCTCTATCATGCATCTCATAAATAATATCTTGCACATCAGAGATTCTACCTGACTTGAACAAACCGTCAACAAGGGAGCTGTAAGTGACAATGTCGGGAATAAGGCTTTTACGACACATTTCTTTAAGAGATTCATGGCCTCATCAACCATCTTCATTTTACAGAGTCCATTAATTAAAATGTTATAGCTAATAATACAAGGAGCCAAACCACTTTTGACCATCTTGTTGAATAGTCTTTTTGACTCAAAAACATTATTAATCAAACAGTACCCATCCATTAAAGTGTATAATAACATCATCAGGTCTTTCACATACTTCATCATCATGGCAATGATAGCCTCAGCTTTAGTCATATTTCCTTTCTTACAAAATGCATCGACCAATATACTAAAAGTACACACATCAGGGTTGATGTCTTTAAGTCTCATTTCATTAAACAATGTTACTGCTTCCGGCCATTTATCCATGACACAAAAACCATGCATGAGAGAGTTGTAGGTCACGACATTAGGAGATATTCCACGATCAATCATTTCACAAAATAAATCATAGGCTTCAGTTATCAGTCCCTCTTTGCAAAATCCATCAATAATCATACTATACATCACTAAATCAGGCTTAACTGGTCCTCTCGTCATCTTTTGGAGCAATTTAACTGCAACTCTCGTTTTGCCGGCCTTACATAGTCCATTTATCATTGTGCCATAGCTAACTACACCTAACTCAAAACCCTTTGCTATCAAATCATCATGAAAATCTAGGGCCTTTCCAACGTCATTATTGATGCAAAGGCCCTTCATTAGCGTATTCAAAGTTCTTAAGAATCTTGCCTAAGGCAGAGAAAGCAGAAGGCATTTGACACAAATGGCAGTAACAATTAATCAAGATGTTCAGCGTAGACAGAGATGGCGTGAATCCCTTAGATTCCACCTGTATGAAAAGGGAGATAACTGTTCGATGATGTTTCAACTTTGCAAGAGCTCCTAAGATCTTATTAATTTCGATTATCGAGGGTTGGGGACACACATGAAGCAGGCGATTAAAAGAAGAGACAGCCTCTTCAATGTTCTGAGGATTGGTAGACTTGGAATGGAAACAGAAATGGAGAGTAAAGGCATGCGGGGGAGAAAGAAGGAAGGTAGACGTAGACGCTGCAGAAAACAAAGGAAATCCGAAGAAGACGTACCGTGAAGGAGGTCTGCGAAATGACATCTTCAGTTGCATTCAGAAATTCAGATACTTCAACAAAGACGACACCGGAGAATTCCGCGTTAAAGCTTTCCTCGGATGGGTCCTCGGGTGGGATGACCCAGAATCCTATCGCTTTATATTATTAATTTTTATAATTATATGATTTTAGGATTAATGGGCTTTTTGAGACAGTGACTAATGTGATGCGCAGTCTAAGAAAATCAAGAAGGAAATCATTTTACTTCTAAGCAATTTATTCCTTACATTTATTTTGTACAAGTTAATTAATTGGAGGGTAAAATAAAGGTGAGTTTCTGACTTTTCGATGATAATCAATTAAGCAAAAAAAATCAAATTAAACTAATTTTAAATACTGAATTGAAACCAATTAATCCAATTAACCAAAATCGAATTAAGTAAGATACTTCAATTCC